TGTCAGACAACAAAAGGATATAAGAGAGCAAAATCTGGACCGACTAGAGATGCTTAACTGAATTACGAAAGCTTTGGTACATCCTAGAGATGGTTAACTGAATTCCGAAAGCTTTAAACACAACAATTCTATTGCTCTTACAGGTTTTGGTGGAAATGGAGCTCAAAATTTTCAAAATCCAAATCAACAATGGCAACAACCACAAAATGGAGGGGTTCTAGGTGAGGAAATCTTGCGGAAATTTAAAGATTTAAAAGATACTGTAGCTTAGATGCTGTAGCTTGGATATTGTAGCTTGGATACTGTAGCTTGGGTACTGTACCTTGAATTCGGTAGGTTGAATTCGGTAGCTTGAATTCGGTAGCTTGAATTCGGTAGCTTGAATTCGGTAGCTTGGATCCTGTAGCTTGGGTACTGTACCTTGAATTCGGTAGCTTGAATTCGGTAGCTTGAATTCGGTAGCTTGAATTCGGTAGCTTGAATCCTCTGTAGCTTGGGTACTGTAGCTTGTACTGTACTTGAATTCGGTAGCTTGAATTCGGTAGCTTGGATCCGGTAGCTTGGGTACTGTACCTTGAATTCGGTAGCTTGAATTCGGTAGCTTGGATCCTGTAGCTTGGGTACTGTAGCTTGGGTACTGTACCTTGAATTCGGTAGCTTGAATTCGGTAGCTTGAATTCGGTAGCTTGGGTATTGTAGCTTGGATACTGTAGCTTCTAGACTGAATCGTGATAAACTAAATTATAACTAAATTATAATAAACTAAATTTTTAGCTTTTAGAGGACTTTGGCTCGGAAAAGAAAGCCCTTTTGTGTTTCGATAATTGAAAATGAAACTCTCATTTAGATTTAGAAATAAAAATATTGATTTTAATAGAATTGAAGTCTTTAATAGAAGCTTTTTTGTGGAAATAATTGGAAACTATAATAAATTATAATAAACAAGATAATTTCTAATCTCTTTTTTGTTTAGATGATTTGCTTGGATCGCTTGGAATGATGCAGAATAACAATCAATTGCTTCAACCACAACAATCTTCGCAAGGAGAGCATGGAGGGATTGCGCAAAATGGTGAACATTTTCTTGGCTCATTAGAATGAAATAAGTCTAGGCTAAAGCTCGGCAAGGTTAAATCAACTAGAACTAGGTCAGCTAAGCAGCTCAGCTAAGCAAGAAGCTAGGCAGCTCAGCTAAGCAAGAAGCTAAGATCAGCTAAGCAAAAAGCTAAGATCAGCTAAGCAAAAAGCTAAGCTCAGCTAAACTAAGCGAACCTTGAAAACAAAGCTTTTCAAAAACTCTAAAAAGTCATTTGCAAGAGAAATGATTTGGTTATTTAATAAAATAACCGTAGCTTGCGATTAATTCAATTAGAAGATGAATCTAGGTGAAAGACAGTAGGATTCAACCTAATAGGATTCAGTATTTGGCCAGAATCAAGGTTTACTTAGGCTTAGACTTAATGCAAAAGCTAGCGGCTAGCGCCTTGCACTAAGTTTATTTAGGTTTTCAGGCTTAGACTTCGGCTTCGGGTCAAGCTCAGGCTTAGGCTTAGGCTTAGGCTTAGGCTTAGCTAGCTTAGGCTTAAGATTAGGCTTAGTGCGGAGGCTAGCGGCTAGCGCCTCGCACTAAGTCTATTTGGGTTTGGGCTGAACCCCCCATTTTCTGGATCTCAGCCAGTTTAAGCTTAAGCTTAGGCTTAGGCTCAGGCTTAGGCTTAGGCTTAGCTGGGGTCAAGCTGGCTAGGTTCAGGATCAGCCTAAAACTAGGCTGATCGCTAGCTAAGACTTGAGCCTGAGATCAGAGCTAGGCCAGTGCCAAGTAGGGCCAGGATCAGGCCAAGCTAGGTATCTGGTTCGGTTTAGCCAAGATCAGTTCTAGAAGATTTCTGCTTCTATCCACATTTAGGTTTAATGAACGATTTGAGTCGACTCCTTCATCAGGGCGATCCCGGACATCACCAATGGGAAGAGCACGCGCGGCGATTTTGTGGGAAATATCCAACACATCAGAAATGCGTGTAAGTCTTGGAAAACTGGAATAATCGTTGTTGAGATTTGTCATAGATTCAGTTTTTAGAGGTGGCAAGTTTCCAGAGTTCAGCGAAATCGAAGGTATGCTCGCGAACATCGGGCGGAGTGTGCAAAATCTTGTTCCACAGATTCCCAGGTTTGATTTGTACTAGTATCTCTTTACAGAACCTTACTAGATGATCCAGTACTATGTAATCATTTCTAGTATCCTTTCTAAACCTTATAGGATCACTTTAAACAATCCCCTGAACGGTGTGCCGTTTGATTTGGCCTCATTGATCAACAACAGTCTAATGGGAATTGGAGAGATCAATGTAAATGCCGTTCAAAGTATTCAGGTAAAAGAAATTTACATAAAAACGTTTCAACTTTTCATAAAAACGTTCAAAGATCAATAAGATTTTAGAATGTTTGTCAAAGAATGGACTGCAATGAGCAAAAGGCCGCTTACACAGAAAGTCGGAGCTATGTTAGGGAAAAGGTCGGAATTATTGATATCTTTTGATTTTTAAATCAAATTTTCTTTTAGATGTTAAATTTCGAAAAGATCGTCCACGGAAAAGATACATCAAATGATTTGGATTTGAGATTGGAGAGGACGAGACAAGTCAAGCAAGCGTTGATCGACAGAGCGAATCTCCAGGGAGTGGTGAGGATGATTTTGATTTAAATGAACAAATGGCCGACTGGCTAAGAGCCTTGTATCTTGGTCAAGCGGTCAAGGGTTTAATCCCGCTGCCTAGATTATTTTTTTCATATACCGTATTTCTTCGAATCGACCTTTACCAGGAATAGACGTCCACCAGGAATCGACCTCCACCAGGAATCGACGCCCACCAGGAATCGACGTCCACCAGGAATAGACGTCCACCAGGAATCGACGCCCACCAGGAATAGACGCCCACCAGGAATAGACGCCCACCAGGAATAGACGCCCACCAGGAATAGACGCCCACCAGGAATAGACGTCCACCACGAATAGACGCTCACCATGAATAGACGCTCACCACGAATCGGCGCTCACCACGAATAGACGCCTACCCTATGCTACTTTACTATGAACGTTTTCTGCTGGCTTTTTCCTTATAAGCAGATTTAGCGTTCTCCAAATTGCTTTATTTGTTCATTTTTATAAATAATTTTTTTTCAGGTATTATCTAATCGTCTGAAGGTAAATCTTCTGATGATGAAACTCGAGTCAAGAAGAACTCGAAGAACGAAGAAGGAAGAACTCGAAGAACGAAGAACGAAGAACGAAGAACGAAGAACGAAGAACGAAGAACGAAGAACGAAGAACGAAGAACGAAGAGCGAAGAACGAAGAACGAAGAATGAAGAACGAAGGCGAAGAGCGAAGAGCGAAGAACAAGGAGTCAAGAAGAAGCGATGCTACGATATAGAAACGAAATTGGATGCGATTGTATGCGTGCAAAAGAGGAATAAAATTTCTGCAACTGTTTGGAAGTTTGGAGTCGCGCTGAATCCCGGAATGGATAAAGGAAAAGGCTTGATGGCTGAAAGGGAGGACATGGATCTTCGTCTTTCGGGATGGTGGCCGGCAAGCAATTGTGAAGGTGTTGAACGAATTGCCGAAACAATCATCGACTTATTTTCCACAATTACTTCAAGGATTGGGAAAGATGCATTGGTTCAAAATGGAAGAGCTGATTCCGGATAGAACCCAGCTCATCAATGCTATCGAACAAAGAAATAAAGATTTCAAATCGCTGCTGACTAATTTGAAAGCTGCTGACTTCGATAATGAAGAAGATAGTGATTTTTTTGAAAAAATAAACGCCTAGACGATGGAATACAGTATCTAATTTTTTTTTTCTATATTTAGGCTTCTTTTTTTCTTGTTTATACCATATGATTTATATTGATGAAGGTCTTTTTTAAAGACTTCTTTAAATGCAGATCTTCTGCTACAGTGTGCTAGAGGATAAGCGTTTTGTAAAGAGCACAAAAATCATTGTAAACTTTAGGTGACTCCAGCGGATGATGGAGTTTTCGATAAAGACATTCTCTTGACAACAGAACAAGCGGATTTCATGTTGAACGAGTTGGGGAAAGGCGGTGGAATGAGAAAGTGAGAAGAAAGAGATCTAGTACTCATTAGAGCCTTCAATTCAATGTTTTTTTTTGCAAATTTTCATTTAAAAACAGTTCTTTAGGTGTTTTTCAGTAAACTTTTCGGTAAAAGATCAACTGGCTGAACAAAATGCTATGCTACCTATACCATTCGACGTAGAATTTAATGCTGATTCCGAATCTGTCTTCCGTTTTTGCTAAATAATAATCTGCAAAGAGTTATAAGCGTCTAAAGTCTATTAGGACTCTGTAAATGGTCTTAGCAGCAAAGCTGTAAATGGGTTTGGTCTTAGCAGCCTTCTTGAGGCCCCCATTGGCCTTCTAGGGTCTCCTATCGGCCTTCTAGCAGCCTCCTTTGCTAAATAATAATCTGCAAAGAGTTATAAGCGTCTAAAGTTTGTTAGGACTCTGTAAATGTGAGCGTTTTGGTCTTAGCAGCCTTCTAGAGGCCCCTATTGGCCTTCTAGGGTCCCCTATTGGCCTTCTAGCAGCCTCCTTTCCGACCATATTCGGTGCGGCTGTGGCCGAGTGGTAAAGCGTTCGTTTCCAGCGGTTTCCAGTTCGTTTCCTCACAAGTTCGAGCGCCGCTTGGGATTGAGCAATCGATTCTTTTGCTTTTTTTCAAGAAAAACTGACTATTGTTTATTTCTGACTGACTGACTATTCTGACTACTGTATTTAGCTAAATCAGTATTGTCAAATCGATTATCAAAACCGATTTAATTCCAGGAAAGGTAGCTTAAACCGATTTAATTCCAGGAAACGTAGCCTAAACCGATTTAATTCCAGGAAAGGTAGCTTAAACCGATTTAATTCCAGGAAAGGTAGCTTAAACCGATTTAATTCCAGGAAACGTAGCTTAAACCGATTTAATTCCAGGAAACGTAGCTCACTCTTCTTCGAAGAAGAATACGTAAAGAAATGGGATTTGAGGAAGCCGATAAAGTATACTTTTCATGAGTCATTAGGTAATGTATATTATAAAAATTTCTCTTTGTAAACCTAATTATTCTAATTCTTCTTTAAAGCTTGAATATTACAGAAGAATGGGACAAGAATGACGTTCGAATGGGAATAGCGGAGATTACTCGAAATGTTGAATGCTTAAAATTTGAATTTCTTGATTCAGCGCCCAGTGGTCCACATCTGCATTTCATGAAAATCGAGAATTCAAATTTGTAAGTCGAACTTTGTGAGTTTTAAAGGTTAAACAATGAAATTTTAGCTGTGGCTTGTCATATACTGGTCGGTTGGATACGGGAAATCCGATTTATTTGAGTTTCACATGTGGAAATGTGAGTTCTTTTGAGATTTCTTTAAAAAGCATAATTTAAAGAGCTTAAATCAAGATAAACTGTTACACCAAAATAATCTAAAAGCTAAAAAAACAAGGGAAATCACTGATTGACAAAAGTCGCATCATTTGGCTGGCGCTGGTATTACCTAGGGTCAAGTCAAATCGGCAATAAAGCCAACTCAAGCTTGGGCAATCAGTTTTGAGACATTTGAACTCAAATGATCGATCGGAACCGGTTTGGAACCGTATTAGAATCGTATTGGAACCGTATTGGAATTGTATTGGAATCGTATTGGAATCGTATTGGAACCGTATTGGAACCGTATTGGAATTGTATTGGAACCGTATTGGAATCGTATTGGAATTGTATTGGAACCGTATTGGAACCGTATTGGAATCGTATTGGAATCGTATTGGAACCGTATTGGAATTGTATTGGAACCGTATTGGAACCGTATTGGAATTGTATTGGAACCGTATTGGAACCGTATTGGAATCGTATTGGAACCGTATTGGAACCGTATTGGAATTGTATTGGAACCGTATTGGAACCGTATTGGAATTGTATTGGAATCGTATTGGAATCGTATTGGAATCGTATTGGGACCGTATTGGAACCGTATTGGTACAAAATAGGAACCGTATTGGAACCGTATTGGAACCGTATTGGAATCGTATTGGAACCGTATTGGAATTGTATTGGAACCGTATTGGAACCGTATTGGAATTGTAGGGGAATCGTATTGGAATCGTATTGGAATCGTATTGGGACCGTATTGGAATCGTATTGGAATCGTATTGGGACCGTATTGGAACCGTATTGGTACAAAATAGGAACCGTATTGGAACCGTATTGGCACCGTATTGGAACCGTATTGGAACCGTATTGGAACCGTATTGGAACCGCATTGGAACAAAGTAGGAACCGTATTGGAACCGTATTGGTACAAAATAGGAACCGTATTGGAACCGTATTGAAACCCTATTGGAACCGTATTGGAAGCGTGTTGGAACCGTATTGGAATCGCGTTTGAACCATATTGGAACAAAATCGGAACCGTATTGGAACCATCGTGAAACCGTATTAGAACCGCATTCGAACCATATTGGAACCTTTTTTCCCATCCCATGCCAAGAATTATTTCTTCTTTGAAAATTGTTTCTTTTCTTTAAAAACTCTAAGCTGTCTATGTAGGTTGTCGATTTTTAGGCTAAAGTCCAGTTTGATGATTTGGATGACTGATTTTCTAAGCTTTACAATGAGAAAGGCTGACAAAACTACACCAAAATAATCTAAAAGCTAAAAATACAGTAATCTAGGGGCAATCACAAAAGTCGCATCATTTGGCTGGCGCTGGTATTACCTAGGGTCGAGTCAAATCGGCAATAAACCCAACTCAAGCTTGGGCAATCATTTTTGAGACATTTGAACTCAAATGATCGATCGAAACAACCTTAAACGATCTTAAATCCTTGGATGGCCTGGTCTGGCTTAGCCAGAAGCCTAGTCCTGGCTTAGCTTCTGACCTTGCACAACCTAGAAGACTTGTTGCTTATGTCCCAATTCTATGCTATGCTGGGCCAATCTTGGGCCAATGCCGACCTGCTATCCCCAGAGTTGATCCTTTTATGGGTTGAGGCTGGAAAAACAAAAACTAATCGGCACCGGGATCCGAACCTGGTCGGCTGGATACGGGAAATCCGATTTATTTGAGTTTCACATGTGGAAATGTGAGTTCTTTTGAGATTTCTTAAAAAAAAGCATAATTTAAAGAGCTTAAATCAAGATAAACTGTTACCTTTAAGCATAAAATTTACATTTAATATTATCGTTTTCTCTCTAATAGTAGCGCACCTTAAGCATCGCCTAAATTCCGCCTAAAATCTCGAGAACCGCTTAATAGAATCTATCGATGTGGGGTCGCAAAATGTAGCTGACGATGAGATCTTGTGGGGGATTTGAGTGTTGAGTTTCTGTGAAGCTTTGGAAGCCTTTGAAAGCCGTAAAATAGTCATCAACTCGGCTCGCTTGGGTACACTACTATAAGAGAAAATACGGTATTAAAATGTCCGGCAATTGGCTTTAAGAAATCGGACTCTGATGGAATCAAGAAAATAATCTTTAGGTAATTTTTTCTAATATTAGCGCACCTTAAGCGTCGCCTAAATTCCTCAAAATGTAGCTGACGATGAGATCTAGTCGAGAATTAGAATGTTGAGCTTCCGTAAAAGCCTGGAAACCGTAAAATCGTCACCAACTCAGCTCGACCCGGTGCACTACTATTAGAAAGAATATGGTAATTAAATCAAATGCCAACCTGTCTATGAATTATATGTGAATGTCCGGATGGATTTTGTGATTGATTCGGTGTCTGGGATGGGGTTTGCGAGGCTGAAGCAGCTGCTGCTGCCGCGGCAAGACTCTGTGCCGGCGCCGGGGGAAAATGTAGCTTTAGATGATCAAGAAAATGGATAAAGAAATTTTCGAAACTGTTCAGTCTGTTCTGCTTCTGTTCTGGCTTCTGGCTGAACAATTTGTTCAGCCAATTCCTTTGTATCACATTTTGATCAAATTATAAGCAAAACGAGTTTTTTTGCTTTTTTGCGTCGCCTAAATTCCTCGAAATCTCGAGAGCCGCTTATCGGAACCTATCGATGTGAGGTCAGAAAATGTAGCTGACGATGAGATCTAGTGGGGGATTAGAGTGTTGAGCTTCTGGGAAAGCTTGGAAACCGTAAAATAGTCATCAACTCGGCTCAGCTGGGTGCATCGAGAGAATACGGTAGCTGTTTTAGTCGAATTTCTTGTCAAGAGCGGTGCTTTAATGAAAATAGAGATTTAAAGAAGAAAAAAGATTAAATGTAATTTGAATAAGGCTAAAGGAATTAAAGATTTAAATCCAAATTGAAATCATTTCAGCCACGTGGTATCGCGATTCATGAGATAATGCACGCATTGGGCGTCGCTCATCAACATTTACGTACGGATCGCGATGATTGGATTGAGATCGATTGGACGAATATAAATCCCCAGCACTATGATATGTTTGCCGTTTCGAATGCGAGAATGTTTACAACGTGAGAAATTGAGTAGAGAAAAAGATATGCTCTTTTATAGATATGGAATTCCGTACGATTACAAAAGTATTATGCACTATAATGCTTATACGGCGGCTGTGGATACGAGAAAACCGACGATGAAACCGAGAGTAAGTTTAGAAAGATATTAGGTTGTCCGGGAATAGCTGAGCGTTTTTTATTGTTTATTATTTGGGTACATTTTTCTCAATGAAGTACAGTCATGGACAAAAGTCTTGGCGGCTCCTGGGTGGCAACTTTCAAACGCAAATTTAGCAACCTTTCCGAGAGGCTATAAAAAAGTTCTCACAAGTATTTTTGAGCATTTTTACTCTACTTTTAGCTATGACCAAGCATTGAACTCGAAAGTTTATTTTAAACAACAAAAATAAGCGTAAATGACAAAAAGGTCAAAAGGCCCGCCAAGACTTTTGTCCATGACTGTATGCTCGGTACCTTGTAATGTTATCAACACTTTCCAAAGCCAAATCTGCACCAAAAGAAGGTTTGGTGGTCCGCAGTGACAGTTTGCTGGTCTGCAATGACAGTTTGGTGGTCCGCAGTGACAGTTTGGTGGTCCGCAGCCATCACATCCAGCAGCCATCCATCACAGCTTTCTGAATCCGGGGGAAACGATTACGGCGGAGAACTACTGCCAACAAATCGATGAAATGCACCAGAAATTGCGGCGAATTTGCCCGGCATTGGTGAACAGAAAAGGTCCAATTCTTCTCCATGACAAGGCTCGTCCGCACGTCGTACAACCCTGCAAAACCTGAACGAACTGCGCTACGAAAATTTGCCTCATCCGCCATATTCGCTGGACCTTTCGCCTACCGACTACCACTTTTTCAAGCTGTGATTTTTCAATCTCGACAACTTTCTCCGGGAGAAATGCTTCAAAAACTCGATGCCAAAAACGCCTTCGCCGACTTTATCGCCTCCAGAAGCTCGGCCTTCTATGCTACCGGCATAAATAAATTTGTTTCTCGTTGGCAAAAATGTGTTAATTGTAATGGTTCTTATTTTGATTCATGTTTTTTTTGGATCAAGTTATGGGATTTTAAATATTCGAATTGAAAACGCTCATTTATTTCTGGACAACCTAATATTTTGTTTGCTACTTTACTACTTTACTTTGCTTACTTTGCTACTTACCTTTCCTTGCAAAACACACTCTTTCTAGTGCACTGAAGTCTTTATTTTCTTGTGGTAACAAAGAAAGATAAAGAATTTAATTCACGATATGTTAACAGATTTGAGCACAAAGTACAAGGCGAACAGCTGAATGAACTCATTTAAATGATTAGAGCTAATTGGGTAAATGAACCGGGCAAAGCAATCAAATTTAGATCTTTATGAGGCCGTGTTCTTAAACCTTTGTCCGGCACTTTATAAGTGTACTTTGTGTTAACAACTGGAAACATATCCTTTCTGACACTTAATAAACAACTTTAGCAAAGCGCAACTCAAAACATTCGCTTCTTGGGGCAACGAGATCAGATGTCGACTCGAGATATTGAATTGTTGAAGAAAATGTACTGCAAATTGGAATGTATGTGATTTGAAAGCAAATTTGAGAATTCATTTATAGTAGTGGTTAAACGTTTGGCCGTTTGACCCCCGTTTGGCCCCCGTTTGGCCGTTTGACCCCCGTTTGGCCCCCGTTTGACCGTTTGACCCCCGTTTGAGCCCCCGTTTGGCCCCCGTTTGGCCCCCGTTTGACCGTTTGACCCCCGTTTGGCTCCCGTTTGACCCCCCGTTTGGCCCCCGTTTGACCGTTTGACCCCCGTTTGGCCCCCGTTTGACCCCCGTTTGGCCCCCGTTTGACCGTTTGACCCCCGTTTGGCTCCCGTTTGGCCGTTTGACCCCGCGTTAACTTAAAACGCTAGTTTATTTGATTCAAATAACTAAAAGCTTATTCGGTAGTTATTATACGGCTTTTTTTTAAGGAAACAACTTGACTTTCATGGAAAAAATCAAAGAGTTGCATAGCGAATAGGAGTTTAGTTGTTATTCCAACAATGTTATTGGCTTTAAAATGGACAACGAGTTTTGATTTTCAAGTGTAAAAGAATCAAATTGTTAAGCAAGCTTTCTAGAGTTAGATTTTGGTAGAAGTGTTGGTAGACGGTAGAAGTGTTGGTAGAAGGTAGAAGTGTTGGTAGAAGGTAGAAGTGTTGGTAGAAGGTAGAAGTGTTGGTAGACGGTAGAAGTGTTGGTAGAAGGTAGAAGTGTTGGTAGAAGGTAGAAGTGTTGGTAGAGGTAGAAGTGTTGGTAGAGGTAGAAGTGTTGGTAGAAGGTAGAAGTGTTGGTAGAAGGTAGAAGTGTTGGTAGAAGGTAGAAGTGTTGGTAGACGGTAGAAGTGTTGGTAGACGGTAGAAGTGTTGGTAGACGGTAGAAGTGTTGGTAGAAGGTAGAAGTGTTGGTAGAAGGTAGAAGTGTTGGTAGAAGGTAGAAGTGTTGGTAGACGGTAGAAGTGTTGGTAGAAGGTAGAAGTGTTGGTAGAAGGTAGAAGTGCTTTCTGAATAAGATGCAAAGCTAATTTAAAAGAAAAATCTTCTTAATTCTTCTTTTAAGCAATTTTTCTTTTAAATTTGTCTTTTGTCTGATTTAGGTTTTAGTTATTTCGAAAACGATCATTTTGGATACTAGCAAAAGCTTAGAATTTTGTCTAAACATCAAAAGATTCAAGACTTATTGTTAGGGGATTGATTTGAGAAGAATTTGAAACATTCATTGGTACTTATTTGATTACACGGCTCGTTTCTAAGCTTTTACCTCAAAATTTCCCTGAAAATAGACTTAACGTATTAACTTTTTTTTGAGTGGACCAAATTTTCTGAAAATTCCGATTTTTCTTATCTGGAATACACAACAACTTTTGGATTTATTAGGTTTTTGAATATGATAAAAGAAATTAGATCTGTTTTAGATCTGTTGATCTGTTTTAGATCTGTTGATCTGTTTAGATCTGTTGATCTGTTTAGATCTATTGTACAGCGCTATAAATTGACGTGGATGGGTGTGTCTAGTCTTTTAGCCACTACTTTGTTTAATAGCTTTTTAGATTTTAAAAGATTCTTTAGCCTGTTGGGATACGAATGTTTTCTGCGGTTCGTGGGCTCTCAAGAATTTGTGTCGATCTCAGCGCAGCAGCCAATGGATGCAGCAAAATTGTCGAAAGAGTTGTAATATGTGTTGATGAAGAAAAAGTCTTTTTTTTTTTTTACTAATATTTGCTCAACTTTTCTTTCATTTAAAACTTGAAATTGATTTTCATTTTTCATTTTAATCCTTTCTGAGTTATAAAAGGAGTTTTCAAAGAATATTTATAAATTTAGAAATAAAAACATTTCATTATTTTGCTTAAATCTTTTTTTAAACCGGTTTGAACTCAATTTTCTTTTGTTTTTTTGATGTCTTTCCATTAATCTTTACAATGAATTTCTCAAATGATTTTCAATAAAAGTCATATGACGATTACAAGTATACATAACAAGTTTTACAGAATCTAATCTAAATTCTAATTGGATTATCTGAAGAGTTGAATTTAAAAAGCTTATTTTTGATGAAACAAAACTTATCTTTTGAGTAAGCAAAGCTTATCTTTTAACTAAACAAAACTTATCTTTTGACTAAACAGCTAATCTTTTAACTAAACAAAGCTTATCTTTTGAGTAAACAAAGCTGATCTTTCAACTAAACAAACAAACAAATCCGCATGGAAGAAAAGCTATGTTATCTGTTTGATGGAATTCCCGTGGTCTTATACACTTTGAGGTTCTAGCTTCTCTTCCAACAGTCACCTCAGATCTATATGTGCAACAGCTGGAACGAGTAGACCAGGCTCTCAAGAACGAGTAGACCAGGCTCTTAAGAACGAGTAGACCAGGCTTTCAAGAACGAGTAGACCAGGCTTTCAAGAACGAGTAGACCAGGCTTTCAAGAACGAGTAGATCAGGCTCTCAAGAACGAGTAGACCAGGCTTTCAAGAACGAGTAGACCAGGCTTTCAGGACAGAGATCAGGCTCTTGAACGGACGGCTCAAGAACGAGTAGACCAGGCTCTCAAGAACGAGTAGACCAGGCTCTCAAGAACGAGTAGACCAGGCTCTCAAGAACGAGTAGACCAGGCTCTCAAGAACGAGTAGACCAGGCTCTCCAGGTGTAAACAAATCGACTGTGAGATATCTGCAAGATTACGCGCGCCCACACACAGCAAAGAAGACGCAGGAAAAACTCGAGGATATTGGGTTGGGAATGTCTCCGCCGTCTAGTCCGAATCTGGCACCCTTAGACTGCCACTTATTTCGATCTATGCAGCAATTCCTGGTCGATAAACACTTCAGGATCACGACGAAGTCTGAAACGCCAAACACAGCAAATGGAATTGGAATTGGGAATATCTCCTGCATTCGCCGTATAGGCTTCTGGCACCCACAAACTACCACTTATTTCGATCTATGGAGCAATTCCTGGTCGATAAACACTTCAAGGATTACGATGAAGTCCGAATTTGGGTAGGCCAATACGTCGACTTGCAGCCTCATGATTTCTTCAGCAAAGAAATCCGAGATTTGAAAGAAAAATAGAGAAAGATTGCCTAAAGAAAAACTATTGCCAACAACGGAGAATATCTTTTGGATTAAAGCGCATTGTTTTCTTTTTGTGGAGATAAATATCATTCCGGACAACTTAATATATATATTTTAACCTATCAATATATAATATATTGGGTTGGGGAGAATGAGTCGGCGCCAAACTTTAAAGGGACTTTTTGCACACATAAAGCCTTCTTTAAACATACGTTTGGTTTCATCAAAAGGATCCACTATTTCTCTACAAAATCACTTTTGAGAGATTCCACAAAGCTTTTCTTTCGTGGAGTTTATGAACTTCCAAACGCAGCTGGTTAAAATGGCAAAGAGTCCGACTCATCATTTGAACAGTTTCTTTCACATAAACCTTCTTTGGTGTTTATATAAAAAAGATAGAGCACATTCAATTACTTAAGTTGCCAAATTTGCAGGAAGATCCCACCAATGGTTTTTTCTAGATCACAGTTTGTAGTTTTTGTGAAAAAATGGCTTTTTCTTGAGCGGAGGCGCTGTTTGAATTTTCTTTTAAATGTCATTTTGTAGAGAATTAGTTAACCATTCTACTGATATCAAACGCATATTATTTGACGAAGTCGAATAGAAGTTTTAGACATTTTTTTGATTTTCGGCGCCGATTCATTCTCCCCAACCCAATAATATCGTGTTGCTTTTTATCGTCCTTTTTCGTATATACAGGGTGGCTGAAAATTACGTGCGTGCGCGTTACGTGCGCGCTACGTGCGCGCTACCTGCGCAATTACGTGCGCGCTACCTGCGCAATTACGTGCGCGCTACCTGCGCAATTACGTGCGCCCTACGTGCGCGCAGCATCTGACATAGTTTTAAACAATGTATAAAGCATTGCTACTCATCTTTTTGTGTTTTGATATTCTTTTTATCGTTGTCTATTATCGTTGTCCTTGGAAGTGGCTAAGAATTCACAAAATCACCATCAACTTCTCAGTCCAGCTCTCAAGAGCACTCGCAAACGAAAAGTCGCTACAAAAGGTCTGTTTCCAAAAAGTTTGATGATTTGCGGGGGAATCAGTGCTTCCGGAAAGACCCCGTTGGTTTTTATCGATAAAAATCTGAAGATTAACGCAAAAGTCTATCAAAAAGAGATTCTCGAGAAAGCTGTGGTGCCGTGGAAGAGGAGCCATCCCAATTTGACCCTTCAACAAGATTGGGCGCTGGCCCACAGAGCCAAAACAACAATTCGCTTTCTCGAAACTCAAATTGGCTCTTTTTTGACGAAGGATCAATGGCCTGCAAACAGCCCGGATCTCAATCCGTTGGACTTTTCGGTTTGGGGTTTTATGGAAGAACAATTGAGAAATAGGAAAATCAATAATTTGCATGATTTAGGTCGAGAACTGATCAAAATCTGGAACGACTTGGATGCAAACTATCTCCGCTGCACCGTCGATTCTGTAAAGGAGCGAATTGAAGCCTGTATCAAAGCTTGAATGGAAGCGAATTGAAGCTTGTATCAAAGCTTGAATAGAAGCGAATTGAAGCCTGTATCAAAGCTTCAATCGAAGCGAATTGAAGCTTGTATCAAAGCTTGAATCAAAGCGAATTGAAGCCTGTATCAAAGCTTCAATCGAAGCGAATTGAAGCTTGTATCAAAGCGGATGGAGGCCACTTCGAAAATTTCTTGTAATTATTAAATGCTTTTGTTACAACTATTATATAAATAACTATTTTTTACATGTTCTTTGAAAGAAAATTAAATTATGGCGTTTTCTTTGGCGTACATAATTTTCAGCCACCCTATTGATAGGTTAAAGATGCACTAAAGATCAATTGAAAGATAGCATTTGACATAAAAAGGATCTAAAACTTGTCAAAAGATCTCTCAAAATCTCTCTAAAATGAATGATTGTGAAAAAGTTGAGCAAAAGTTGAGCAAAGGTACTCTTTTTTCAAAGAAAAATCAATTCCAATAGAAAAAGAGAAAGAGAAAACGTTTAGGAAATAACATTTTTCGATTAAACAAGAAAAGATTTTTGTGAAATTTTCGTGATTTCTTTGATTCTTTGATTCTTTGTTTCTATGAAGTATTTTCTGAATCTTCTTCTATTTTATTTTTTAATTATTCTTGCTGAAGATACAAAGCAAGTGCCACCCTGGGGATACGCTGAAGTCAGTCATTTTTTAAATAGAACTACCGTAAACGAAAGACCCCAGCCATAAGACGGGGGCGGCTGCGAGTCTAGCTGAACGAGTTTTCTCGACACGGAGCACAAGCTCGTATAGGACAAAAAATAGCCCGAACAGCATTTTTGAACCAAAGACGCATTTTGAAAGTACGGGCGCTTGAAAAAACAAAAACTTTTGCGACTAGCGACTACGCGACTGTACGAGGGGGGTGGGGTACTATTACAGTATTTACGGTAGTCATAGTCATAGTTTAAATAGTCATTTAAAATTTGAATTTTATTTATTGATTTTATTTATTGAATTTGATTTTTGTTTTGTTTTCCTTTATTGATTTAATTTTGATTGTATTTTAGTTTGTTTTATCGAATGAAATCAAAATAAAGTCTGAATTAAGTCAAAATTTAAAGGAAAGGCTATTAAAAGGTTATTAAAGGGTTATTAAAGGGTTATTAGCCCATTCGAAACTTCTGCAGCGAATAATCGCTGCAGCAAAAACTCAGGAACGGACCGCTGCAGCGACTATTTGCTGCAGCGCTAATTGAGCTATTTTCATTCAATTAATTGCTTTTTTTTTGCTGTTTTTCAGCATTACATGTATATTCCAATTGTAGCAGATCTACAAATTAAGTGGGCAAAAAAGGCGTGTCATATTTACCCGGAATCAATGCAGCCTCTGGTTTTGCATGGAAATGTTCCATAATAGCTCTAATCTTATAAAGCCGATCTCCTGCAGAATCCAGTTCATTATCACAAAAGCGCAGGTTTCGAAGAATAGATTCAAATTTTGCTCTTGACGTAATGTGGGGAAATCCTCCTAATCCAGGCCTGCTACTCCAGTAGTCACGAATCCTCGGTAATTTGACGATTCTCATTTGAAGATACAGAGCCAGGAAGAGCTTGAAAGATTATGCATCGAAATCCTGCCAGTTTGTTTTCCTTTTTCCATGTTTATTAGATTCGCCTACTAACATATTGATTAATTTGTCGTCGATAAAATAAGAATAATAATCGATAGGATCTTGAAAAGTACTGAAGTCAAATCCAAATCGTTCTTCATCAAAAATAAATGGTGTAGGAGACTCTCGTAAATCTTTTCAACCATCTGAATAAACTGCTTCGGAGTCAAAAATGTTCGGAGTCGAGTCGCAGACGAAAAAAAAAGAAAAAACGCTGCGGTTTCGAATGGGTTAAAGGGTTATTAAAGGGTTATTAAAGGGCTATTAAAAGGTTATTAAAAGGTTATTAAAGGGTTATTAAAAGGCTATTAAAAGCCTATTAAAGGGCTATTAAAATGCTATTAAAAAGCTATTAAAAAGCTATTAAAAAGCTATTAAAGAAATGCTAAAGACTTCTCAATAATTAGACTTTTAAAAAACGCTTAATTTCTAATATTATTGAAATTTTAAAGTTTTATAGCCTTAAAGAGGCTGAGATTTAAGATTTTGAGGCTTTATAGCTTTAAAGGTGCTAAGATTTATGATTTTAACGCTTTATAGGCTTAAAGATGCTAAAGATTTTAAGGCTTTATAGCTTTAAAGATTTAAAGATTTTCTCAGATTTCATCAAATTTTAATTTTTAGGCAATCGGTTTGATTGGTGCTTTTCTATCGAAAGATTATGAGAAAAATCCGTCAAGAAATGTGCTTCAAGATGTGAAAAATTATGCAAATTCACTGAATCGAGCAAAGGGTTTATCGGAGGAGGATCAGAAGAAAGTCATGGAGAATTTACTGGGAATTGGGGAGATGAAAATGGACAATTTGAGGTTTAGCTTCAGCGAAAGCTTTAGCTTCAGCATAAACCAAACAGAGAACTGAATTTCGGACTCTTTAAAAAGCAGTCACACGCTCCTTAATGGATCGTCGACTAACTGCTAACTGCCTCTAGTGGATAGTCGGCTATACTACCGAACTTTCATTTCATTTCCTCCCGCAAGTTCCTCTCCCTAAATTTTTTCCTTTTCATTGTTAGTTTCTCTCCTTAAGAAGCCGTCTCACGCTCCGCTTTCAACTGCTTGCATGGCCTAGTGGATAGTCTGTTAGACTACCAAATCTTCATTTCTCGAACTTGGGGAGAAAGAAAGGTAATAGGTTTGGTAATCTAGCAGACTATCCATTAGACCATCAAAGCATCAAAGCATCTAAGTCAATGGAGCGTTTGACGGCTTCTTAAGGAGTCCGAATTCAGCCGCGTTCTGCAAAAACTAAAAACGGATTCGAGATCCGGTTCTACGAGATGGACTTGGTCTAGAGTTAAAAGCTTAATACCAGCTTGATTGGCCGGTTAAAAGGCCAGCTTGTTTGGCCAGGCAAAAGGCCAGCTTGATTGGCCAGGCAAAAGGCCAGCTTGATTGGCCAGTTAAAAAGCCAGTTTGTTTGGCCAGGCAAAAGGTCAGCTTGATTGGCCAGTCAAAAGGTCAGCTTGATTGGCCAGGCAAAAGACCAGCTTGATTAGCCAGGCAAAATGCCAGCTGGATTGGCCAGTCAAAAGGCTAGGTTGATTGGCCAGTCAAAATGCCAGCTTGATTGGCCAGGCAGAAGGCCAGCTTGATTGGTCAGTTAAAAGGCCAGCCTTTCTCTTTCCTTTTGCTATAATATTCTAAAGCACTGTACTGATAAATTGAATGAATAAAGAAGCCTTTTAGCTCAAAATTGACAGATGATTTAAAGACGAAGATTGGAGAAGCGGGGAAATCTTATCGAGAATCCCTAGCCAAACATATGTTGATACTCGAAAAGGAGCAAGAGTTGCCAGAATCGGTGAAAACGTGGATGAATGAGGTGAGGCAAGTTAGAATACCTGAATGAGGTATTATAAAAGCTCAGAACCAGGTTTAGACTGTTCTTTGACTTTTCTTGGCTGGCTAATCTTGCTGTAAAGCTTAGCAAAGCTAAAGCTAGCCAGCCAAATGACTTTCAATTGATCTGATTGAATTGATTTTGTCATAAACCTTGACTTTATTTGGATTTTATTGAAATTTAAGTAAAAATAGTTGAAAATTTACCAATCAGCAAGTGAAAAACACAAAGACATTTTCTAGATGATAATCAAGCCGTTGAAAGAAACACAGCAACTCTTTGAAGCCTATCTTTCAAATCAACAATCCACTCAGAATTCGCAGAAATTTGAGCAAAAAATCAACGAGGAAAAGGTGAAAAATCTGGGAACAGTGAGTTATTAAAGAAATTTCAAAAAAAAAATTCTGCTAAATTCTAGAAATTCTCGAGTTTAATGAAGGAGGGAATCAAGAAATTGCAAGCTGAAGTTCTACAGGAAAAGAGAAACAATTATCGACATTTTGATGCATTAACCGATTTGATGCAAAGAGCTCAAGTCGTTTATGTGGGTTTTGTGACTAAATCTTAGGTAAAGAAGATTAGGCTAGATTTGATCGTCCTGGACAGGCTATCCTGGATCAGGCCCTGATCCGATTCCTGTCTCTGGATAGGGTTAGAAAGTTACCAAGATCCAATAAAGTTATCTGGATCTGGTTAGACTAGATTAGAAGCCAAGATCTGGTTAGACTAGAGCCAGACTAGGGCTTGATCAGGGATGATCAATAAGGCAGAGCCATGTTTGAAGTTAGGGACAGATCAGGATTAAGCCAGGGACAGATCAGGATTAAGCCAGGGTCGATTCAGGCTTAGGTTCAGGCTCTGGGCGAGGTCTGTTTTACTCTAGCTCTAGATGCGAGCTCTAGATGCGAGCTCTAGATGCGAGCTCTAGATGCGAGCTCTAGATGCGAGCTCTAGATGCGAGCTCTAGATGCGAGCTCTAGATGCGAGCTCTAGATGCGAGCTCTAGATGCGAGCTCTGTTTCGTTCAGCTCTAGATGCGAGCTCTGTTTTGCTTAGCCCTAGATGCGAGCTCTGTCTTGCTCAGCTCTAGATGCGAGCTCTGTCTTGCTCAGCTCTAGATGCGAAATCTGTTTTACTCTAGCTCTAGATGAGAGCTCTAGATGAGAGCTCTAGATGAGAGCTCTAGATGCGAGCTCTAGATGCGAGCTCTAGATGCGAGTTCTGTTTTACTCTAGCTCTAGATGCGAGCTCTAGATTTTGCTAGGGTGAATCCAAGAGAAGCAAGGCCGTTTTATCCAATGTTTTGTCTAAATTCCTTTACAGAATATGATCGAACTCATGCGTAACAGCATCATCTTCAGTGGTGATGGAGGAAAAGTGAACGAATTGATTAAACAACAAAACGCTAACAGAAATGCGACTGAGGTTGAAAGGAGCAATGTAGGTATCGGAAATTGGCTTTGCATTTGATCGGAGCTAGGTATTTGATTCACAATTCAATTCGTTTAGTGGAAAGTGTCAGCCTCTGAAAATGAATTCAATTACAACGCTGTGAATCTCACCGATGATGGTTTCAAAGAAAAAGAAGCGCTGAAGACGATCTATCAAAAGTTCGCCAACAATAATTGGTAATCTAAAGCTATACCCTGATGGCCGACTGGCTAAGAGCTTTGTATCTTAATCGAGAGGTCAAGGAGAGGACAGGTTCAATCCTATCTAGCTTATTTCCTTTCTACATGAGTTTTTCCATCTACATGAGTTTTTCTTGTCTCTAAATTTAGCGCTATGCTTTTTCTTCTTTTCTTTTCTTTTTTTAATTGTACCAAAATATATTTCCTAAGGTTCTAATTCGATTTAGAATCTCGGATTCTACTTAATTCTCTTCCACAGACACTCTTCCACAGTTCACTTTCCTTTCTTCTTTATTCTAACTCTATTAATACTCAAAACTTGAGAAAAATTTAGGAAAGACGGCTCTCCAATCAACTATTATTTTCTTCTGAGCTACGATGAAAAACCAATGACGAAAAGTTCGAAAAACTATACACATATAGTGGAAATCAATAATAAGACGGTGGTGCTGCATATGAGAAGTCAATTGATGGGTGAGATTGGAGTGAAGAGATTGGAGTGAAGAGATTGGATTGAAGAGATTGGATTAAAGCCATGGGATAGTTAGAATGAGATCCGGAAGATCTAACAAGGTGTCCCGAAAGTTCTTAAGATGGGTGAGATTGGACTGAAGAGATTGGATTGAAGAGATTGGATTGAAGAGATTGGATTAAAGCCATGGGATAGTTAGAATGAGATCCGGAAGATCTAACAAGGTGTCCCGAAAGTTCTTAAGATGGGTGAGATTGGACTGAAGAGATTGGATTGAAGAGATTGAATTGAAGCCATGGGATATTTAGAATGAGATCCGGAAGATCTAACAAGGTGTCCCAAAAGTTCTTATTCTTTTTTCCTTAACCAGTAACCTCTTAAAAAGCACGTAGTTTTTGGAAAATGCTAGCTTCTAAAAATTCAGATATTTTTACCCAAATATGACGATTTTCATAAAAAAAGATTGGTATTTGTTGGTTAAACATTCACAAAGACTCATCTCGGTTAAGCATTTCCATCCGTGTCCATACGATCTTCAACACTCCTTTCAATTGTGTATCAGTTTGGAGTCCCCATCCGAGTCTTCGCTGTTATCGATTTTCGTTCAACTGATCGACTGATCACTTCAGACGAGCACTCTACTTTGCTGAACATAATCTCCTCTCACAAATTGTCAGCTTCTTTCTTAACCGAGTTGAATAGAGATTGGGTAAATAACTTAAAATCATAAGAACTGCCGGTACTTGTCGGTTAAACATTCACAAAGACTCATCTCGGTTAAGCAAATTTCTGACTACTCTGATTGCGAGGAAGTAAATTCTGATGCAACGGATCGACATTCACGATCTCCAACACTCCTTTCAATTGTGTATCAGTTTGGAGTCCCCATCCGAGTCTTCGCTGTTATCGATTTTCGTTCAACTGATCACTTCAAACGAGCACTACTTCACTAAACATAAACAAAGGGGACTCAAAAATGATTCCTTTATAACGCTTCTCTAGCTTCCGACCAGAGATCGCCTCTTGGCCTAGTGGATAAAGGCCTAGTCCGCCCTACTTTTATCCTCGGGTTCAATTCCGCCCACTTCAATTTCAATTCCGCAAAATCTTTTTTTTTTCGAAACATTTTGTTTTTAATAGCTTTATTCACCATTTCTTGTGTTACTACTGTGTTTCCAAACTGATACACAATTGAAAGGAGTGTTGGAGATCGTGAATGTCAATCCATTGCATCAGAATCTACTTCCTTTCAATCAGAATAGTCAAAAATCTCTTTGATTTCATTTTTAAATTCCCCTTTCCTTTAAATCAGAAAGGATTATATCAATTTGTTATTATCTATTTGATAATAGATAATAGATATTTAGATTTAGATTTAGATATTTTACTTATAAATTAGAATATTTCGAATATAATCTAGATGCTTTTTGGAAGTTTTATCTTAAAGTCTGATATTTTATTTGAAATTTTACGATGTTTTTAGAAATGGATCCAAAAAGTGCTCCATATTTATGGTTTAATTGGTATCCAAAAATGGCAAGAACTCTTGAGTTCGAGATTCTCGATGAGTAAGTATTGATCTTCACGACAAAAGATTTTAAAACTAGAAAGTTGTTTTGAAAAATGAATTTTCCGAGTCCTGAGTTTGAGCTGGTTTACTTGGCTTCAGCTGGTTTGCAGGGCTTCAGCTGGTTTACAGGGCTTGAGCTGGTTGCAGGGCTTCAGCTGGTTTACAAGGCTTGAGCTGGTTTACAGGGCTTGAGCTGGTTTACTTGGCTTCAGCTGGTTTACTTGGCTTGAGCTGGTTGCAGGGCTTCAGCTGGTTTACAAGGCTTCAGCTGGTTCCCTTGGCTTCAGCTGGTTTACTTGGATTCAGCTGGTTTACAGGGCTTCAGCTGGTTTACAAGGCTTCAGCTGGTTCCTTGGCTTCAGCTGGTTTACTTGGATTCAGCCGGTTTACTTGGCTTCAGCCGGTTTACTTGGCTTCAGCTGGTTCCTTGGCTTCAGCTGGTTTACTTGGATTCAGCTGGCTTACAAGGCTTCAGCTGGTTTACAGGGCTTCAGCTGGTTCCCTTGGCTTCAGCTGGTTTACAAGGCTTGAGCTGGTTTACTTGGCTTGAGCTGGCTTACAGGGCTTGAGCTGGTTCCCTTGGCTTGAGCTAGTTTATGGGAAAAAGTTTTAAAAATGCTTTCAAAGATCAAAAATCCATATCAGATTGAATCGAATCGATCCAACGAATCAAACGATGGAAGAGTTGCAAAAAGTTGTTCACGATCGTGCAATCAAAAAGTGTTTGAATTGTCAGGTGAGTTGTGAAAAAAGGTTTTAAAAGTTTAAAAGTCGTTGAGTAGTTGATATTTGCTTAAATTTACAATTTTTTTATTGGTCTATTGTCTGGAAAAGATTTTTAATAATCAATAAATCAATAATCAATTGATTATTGATAATCTCTTCCAGACAATTTTGACTTCAATCGATGGCCCATCCGATTCATATTCTGATGGAAAAGAGCCATCTCCAGCCGGTCGATTGATTCGAATATTCTCGAAAATCTCTGTTTTTATCGGTTTTTAAATAAATTTATTTCAATTTTCTTCTTTTCTACATAAAAAAACACTTTAAACAACTTTTTAAATCACTTTTTAAATCACTTTCAATCACTTTTTAAATAACAATTTCAAATTTGAATAATTTGAATAATTTGAACCATTTTTCCTTCATACGTCATGTATTTCTCGTCACTTTACATCTCGCTTACCAGAAGAAGTTCTAGCTTTGTTAGCTAGCCTTTTACTAAAGCTTGTTTAGAGCCTGACTCCCTGACTCTTGATCCATGAAATTGTCTTTAGAACAAGTCTGTTTAGAAACTGACTTCTTGACTCTTGTTCCATGAAATTCTCTTTAGAATAAGCCTGCTCTATTGACTGTAAAGTCAGGGAAAAAGCTTGAGCTCTAGCTTTGTTAGCTAGCCTTTTACTAAAGCTTGTTTAGAGCCTGACTCCCTGACTCTTGATCCATGAAATCCATGAAATTCTCTTTAGAACAAGCCCTGTTCGTGAATCATTGAATCGTGAATCGTGAATTGGATGCAGACCTGAGAACTAGCCAAGTACAAGCTTGGGTTTTGGATTGATGAGTTTAAGAAATGATTCACGAACAGGGCTTGTTTTAAAGACAATTTCATGGATTTCATGGATCAAGAGTCAAGAAGTCAGTTTCTAATCTGGCCTTAGTAAAAGGCTAGCTAACAAAGCTAGAGCTCAAGCTTTTTCCCTGGCTTTACAGTCAATAGAGCAGGCTTATTCTAAAGAGAATTTCATGGATCAAGAGTCAAGAAGTCAGTTTCTAAACAGACTTGTTCTAAAGACAATTTCATGGATCAAGAGTCAGGAAGTCAGATTAAAGCATTAGAACAAGCCCTGTTCTAATGCTTTAACTTTTCAGAATCACCTATTTTACAAAAAGCAATGAGCAAACACTCAATGCCAAGAAGCTAATCGCAAAAAGTTCAGTTAAAAAGTTCTGTGAAAGTTATTAAAGTGTTTAAATATTAGGGTGGTGCAAAAGAAACTGTCGATGGGTATCAGCTCTCATTTATCAGAAACGATGCTAGCGGCATTATTTTTTTAAATGTTTTTTTTCGTATATTTGTTTGCTATTTATTTCGACATTTGAATTTTTTGGTTATTGTTTATTTTATTTTGGGTGTTTATTGTGCTACGAGCAGCATGACTGTTTAACTTCAAAATTGGAAAGTCTGCTGCCGAATCGCATCGTCCTGTGCTCGCATCGTTCTGTGCTGATTTCAGAGATGGCAGTTCGTCTCTTAGTCAGTGTCAGACTTGGTTTCAACAGTTCCGAGAGGGAGATGAGGCTTGGGAAGATTACGAGCACCGTTCGAGGCCAGAAGTCGTGAACGAAGCCAAGCTGAGAGACGTTATTCAGGCCGATCCATGCCAATCTGCTCGAGGTCTTGCGAAAATATTCCATTGTGATCATGTCACCATCGAATGCCATCTTCATTCGAAAGAAAATTCGTTGTGGAAGATGGGTTCCTCATCAACACAGTGATGCTAACCTCGCATCCCGCATTTCCATCGCTGGTATTTCCCTGAATCGTGCAAAGAATAGCGGATCTCTTGATTCTATCGTGACATCGGATGAGAAATGGATTGCATACGACAACTTTACGCAAGAACGACAGTGGTTGAGCGCTGGCGGACGTGCTGTTCCAACTCCAAGGCCCGAAATCCACGGGAAGAAGATCTTATTGATTGTATGGTGGAACATCAAGGGTTTGGTGTACTTTGAATTACGGGGACATGGAAAAACGGTCACTTCAACATGTTGCAAAAATCACGCAGCAGAAAATCGAAGAATTTGGATGGGAAGTCCTGCCTCACCCTCATGTTTCAACGATTCCGAGAGGGAGATGAGGCTTTGGAAGATTACGAGCAAGGTTCGAGGCCAGAAGTCGTGAACGAAGCCAAGCTGAGAGACGTTATTCAGGCCGATCCATGCCAATCTGCTCGAGATCTTGCGAAAATATTCCATTGTGATTGTCACCATCGAATGCCATCTTTTTTTTTTAATTTACCGTCAAATCGGCAGTTTCTTTTGCACTACCCTAATAGTTGCTTAAATAGTGAATACAGACAAATCTCTTTATAAAAACTCTCGATATAACGATAACAGGTAACAGCTTGACTATCGTCGTAATCCATTCATAATATTATCCATTCATAATGTTATCAAAATTCTCTTTGTCCTTAATCCCGGGGTCATCATCAAATCATTTCCTAAACCAGCTTTCACCTAAAAATCCTGAAAATGATAAAGGAAAAACTTGAAAGGCCGAATTCTTTATCCAAATCATCACCTAAGCTTTTCCATTTCTCAACTTTTTTCTTTCTTTTCTTTCTTTCTATCTATCTCTCTTTCTATCTCTCTATCTATCTTTCTATCTTTCTTTCTTTCTTTCTTTCTTTCTTCCTATCTTTCTATCTATCTTTCTTTCATTCTATCTTTCTTTCTTTCTTTTCTATCTTCCTTTGATTTTCCATCGAAAACCTGTCTTCCTCAGTCAGATTTTCTTAAGATTCCCTCTCTTTTATCCTTTCTTTAACCTCGACATTAGCCATTTTCATCCAAAAACGATCAATTTTTTTCAGTAAAACAATGAAATTTCTATATTTTTTCCTTATTTTATTACCGATACTCGTTTCTGCAAAAAATGCTCTTCATAAAACGAAAAAGTATAAGTGTATTGAAGTCGAAGATGATAAAGATGATGTGAGTTTTTTCTTTTTCTTTTGATCCGATCCCTGTCTCTGGGTAGGGTTAGAAAGTTACCAAGATCGAAGAAAGTTAGAGCCAAGTTCTGGTTAGACTAGAGCCAGACTAGGGCTTGATCAGGGATGATCAATAAGGCAGAGCCATGTTTGAAGTTAGGTACAGATCAGGGTTAAGCCAGGGTCGATTCAGGCTTAGGTTCAGGCTCTGGGCGAGGTCTGTTTTACTCTAGCTCTAGATGCGAGCTCTAGATGCGAGCTCTAGATGCGAGCTCTAGATGCGAGCTCTAGATGCGAGCTCTAGATGCGAGCTCTAGATGCGAGCTCTAGATGCGAGCTCTAGATGCGAGCTCTAGAAGCGAGCTCTAGATGCGAGCTCTAGATGCGAGCTCTAGATGCGAGCTCTGTTTTGCTTAGCCCTAGATGCTAGCTCTGTTCTGTCCAGCTCTAGATGCGAGCTCTGTCTTGCTCAGCTCTAGATGCGAAATCTGTTTTACTCTAGCTCTAGATGAGAGCTCTAGATGCAAGCTCTAGAGGCGAGCTCTGTCTTGCTCAGCTCTAGATGCGAGCTCTGTTTTAGATCAGGTTAGACTAGAGCCAGACTAGGGCTTGATCAGGGATGATCAATAAGGATGATAAAGATGATGTGAGTTTTTCTTTTTCTTTTGATTTAGCTGAATTTCAACATTTTAAATCAATTCAACTACCCAGTTTTGATATTATAAACAAGATTTCTGACTCCTTAAATGACTTCCTTTATTTTCATTTACGTTAATAGTAGCTAAGAGTAGTTTAAACTGTCTTGGTCTTCATTTAAAAGCTGAAAAAAACCTAGGCTTTACTTAACCTAATAGTTTACGGAACAATTTATAACTAAAAATGTTATCGTAGTTGATTTGAGCATGATGCTTACCGTATTTTCTCTAATAGTAGTGCACCCTGAGCTTTGCCTAAATTCCTCGAAATCTCGAGAACCGCTTATCAGAACCTATCGATGTGGGGGCGAAAAATGTAGCTAACGATGAGATCTAGCTGAGGATTAGAGTGTTGAGCTTCTGGGAAAGCTTAGAAGCCGTAAAATAGTCACCAACTCGGCTCGCTTGGGTGCACTAATATTAGAGAAAATACGGTAAATGGATTCCAAATTCTTCAAACTCAATCAAGCAAGGCTTTTCCTTTGCCAGAGAGCCTTTGACTTGAATCTAGTGCGCCAGAATATCGTATTTTCCCTACTAGTAGTGCACCCTGAGCTTTGCCTAAATTCCTCGAAATCTCGAGAACCGCTTATCAGAACCTATCGATGTGGGGTCGGAAAATGTAGCTGATGATGAGACTAGCTGAGGATTAGAGTGTTGAGCCTCTGGGAAAGCTTAGAAGCCGTAAAATAGTCACCAACTCGGCTCGCTTGGGTGCACTAATATTAGAGAAAATACGGTATTATTTGCCTTATTACTGGCTTGGTTTGGATAAAGTCCCTGCTAGAACCTGACTCACAGGTATGATTGAAATATCTTCGGCTAGATACCGTATTCTCTCTAATAGTAGTGCACCTTAAGCCTTGCCTAAATTCCTCGAAATCTCGAGAACCGCTTATCAGAACCTATCAATGTGGGGTTGGAAAATGTAGCTAACGATGAGATCTAGTGGGGGATTAGAGTGTTGAGCTTCTGGGAAAGCTTAGAAACCGTAAAATAGTCATCAACTCGGCTCAGCTGGGTGCATACTATTAGAGAGAATACGGTATTCATTTATGATTACTTTCCATTCTTATCATTCCTCTGCCGCTATGGTTGAGTGATTAGGAGCCTATCATAGTCCAGAAGTCACAAGAGTCCACGGGTTCGATCCCAACTCCTAGAAAATGGCTTTTTCTGCACTTTTCTGCAATATCTTTAGTTGTAGACAAATCAATCATTAATTGCTCTGTATAATTCTGTAAACAAATACAGAACTAGTTCTGTATTTGTTTGTGTTGAATAAATCTATATTTTCCATTCCAGGCCACTCACTACGGATGGAATCGAGCCGATGAGGAGTTGAAGAGTATCGGAAGTATGCATTCAGCGCCACTAATCCCAGCTCTTACACCAACACCCTATGAACCCGTTAGTTTAATTCTTATCCAATATTTTGCCCAGTAAGACGTAAAGCTGTTCCCTGGTAACGGGATTCGATGTAGTCTATTGTTACAGCGCTAGACCTAGACGCTAGACCTAGTACGCTAGACCCATAAGCTTGTCAGCAAGAAGTCGCGGGTTTGAATCCCAGCTCCAATCGACCGGTCGATCGATCTCCAATCGATCCAACTGCAATTTATTCGATTATCTATCTATTTACAAAGCTTTACAGCTTCAAGCCACCACTCTGCCAACAAATATTCCTAAAGATCATAAAGGAAGGCCATTGATTTTATCACCACAACACTGTGCCCAGGTGAGAAACGATCTTTAAAAGTCGTTAAAATCAATGTTTTTAGGTCAAGAAATACGCTGACATGTACAATGTGAGCGATGTTTTATCATGGGTGAAACAGAATTGTCATTTTGCGCAAATGTTTGTCCCTGAGGCGACATGTGAAGAAGTGAATATATTAGTGGCCAGCTGTTATACCAATCATTATCTTCAATAAATATGTACAGCTTATTGGAAATTAATACAAAGCCATTTTTGGGTTACTGTAGCTCGGAACTGTACAGGGATACTGTAATTCGAAACTGTACAGGTTACTCTAGCTAGGATTCGGACTGTAGGGTTACTGAGCACAAAACTGTACGGGTTTACTGTAGCTCCAAACTGTGCAGGGGCACTGTAGCTAGAATTTGGACTGTAGGGTTACTGTAGCTAAAAAATGTACAGGGTTACTGTAGCTCGAAACTGTGCAGGGGTACTGTAGCTAGAATTTGGACTGTAGTTACTGTAGCTCATGACTGGCTACTGTAGCTCATGTGGTTACTGTAGCTCATGACTGTACAGGGTTACTGTAGCTCGAAACTGTACAGGTTACTGTAGCTCGTTAGAACATTCATCAGCTAGCCAGATGAGATCAGCACATTATAAAGTTCAGAAACTGTATAAACCTTAGATTTTAAAGGTGTTTAAGGTGTGAGTCTGAAGGATTTGGAGAAGTTAAACCATAATCCTTTCACTTTTCGATTTACAATCAAACAGCAGTGTTTAGTTAAGATCAGGAAAGGATAAGAAGGAAAAGGGACTAAAGAAGATGGGATTAAAGGTCACCATATGCTTCTTTTCTCACCATTCATGAAATATTTGAGAGTGAAGAAGAGATGAACAATGAACAGATGAAGAAATGAAGAAATTCAATTTGGCTTTATAGCGAGCCGATGAAGGATTTCAGCTGAAGACGAAGCCGAAGAAGTCTCAAATTTTTTCGCTAGCGAAACCTTCTTCGGCTAGCCGATTAAGTCTCAGAGACTTCTCCGGCTAGCCGATTAAGTCTCAGAGACTTCTTCGGCTGACCTCATCGGCTCGACAATATAATAAGTGAAAGAGAAGGAAAGAAGGGGATTAAGGTCACCATATGCTTCTTTTCTCACCATTGATGAAATATTTGAGACTGAAGAAGAGATGAACAATGAACAGATGAAGAAATGAACAAATTTCACAATTTCTATCAATATTCTATCAATTTTGGCTTTTATATAATACTAGGTTGATAAGAATTTACAGGGCTTGAGCTGGTTTACTTGGCTTGAGCTGGTTGCAGGGCTTCAGCTGGTTTACTTGGCTTGAGCTGGCTTACAGGGCTTGAGCTGGTTTACTTGGCTTCACCTGGCTTACAGGGCTTGAGCTGGTTTACTTGGCTCAGCTGGCTTACAGGGCTTGAGCTGGTTTACTTGGCTTCACCTGGCTTACAGGGCTTGAGCTGGTTTACTTGGCTTGAGCTGGCTTACAGGGCTTGAGCTGGTTTACTTGGCTTCACCTGGCTTACAGGGCTTGAGCTGGCTTACTTGGCTTCAGCTGGCTTACAGGGCTTGAGCTGGTTTACTTGGCTTGAGCTGGTTTACAGAAAAAAGTTCAAAAAAGGCTTTCAAAGATCAAAAATCCATATCAGATTGAATCACCATATGCTTCTCTTCTCACCATTGATGAAATATTTGAGAGTGAAGAAGAGATGAACAAAGATCACAATTTCTATTAATATTCTATCAATTTTGGCTTTTATATAATACTAGGTTGATAAGAAAGTTTATAGAAAGTTCATAGAAAAAGTTAGGAATCATTTTTATAATAAAAAAAAGTCAGCTTTTCAGTCTTTCTTTTGTTTTTCGTGTTTTTCGTGATGGATTTTGGGTTTTAGCCTTAGTGTGAAGAGGTTTCGAATGGGGTAGAGTGATTGAAAAGAAAAATAAAAGAAAAAGAGAAAAGAGAATTGTCTTCTTCTTTTCTCATGCCTCCGCTATGTAAACATATCATTCAAATTCAGCGATCGAATGTTTGAAAAACCTTTTCTGAAACAAAAGACACCACCAATTTCGTCGCAATAATTTCTCTTCAACTTTCTCCTCTCTAACTTTTGCTTTTTCTTGGCGCAAAACATTCTTCTACAGTTAATTTTGATCTTTTTGATCTATCTAATTGCAAACTGGTCTAAAACTTGGAGATTAAATCTCTCCCCAGCTAAGTCTTCTCATTTTTCCACTGGCAAATTTTCGCACTTAGGTGTTCCTATTTTGCGGATCAAAACCTGCTTCCACATTTCTCTATCCCTTGATATTGTCATCCAGTGTTTCCTAGCTTGATTCTTCCTGATTCGAAGTCTTTGACTTGCTCGACTTGCTTGTGCTGGTGGTTGCACTCTAGCCATCCTTTCTCTGACCGTCTCTGCCACTCTTGTGCTCCACCTCGTTGCTGGTCTTCTGGTCTTCTGGTTGCTGGACCTCTTCTGGTCTCGTGGTAGCCACTCTGTGATCCGTATCGTCCATCTGTCTGTTCTTCTGGCTACGTGGCCGGCCCATCTGAGTCTTCTTCCCTCGATCACTTCCACTGGATCTCTGAGTCCCGAGAGCTGGCGCATATCCGTACTTCTTAGGTCTTAGTCGAGCTGCGTCTTCCTATTTTTTTGATCTTTAAAACAGTAAATTCAATTAGCTTTCAACTATGCTTCAACTTTGCTTTATCAAATAGCGTAAACTTTCCAATCGATCAATTCATCATTTCGAATGTTCTCAAGAAATTTTTCTCTCAAAACTAATCAATAAATCTCTCCAGAAAATTCATTTCTAAATAATCCAACAGAAAAGGTAAAAAATGAATCTACTGTAATCAATCTACCGTAATAGAAGGGCACTGTCGAATAGAAATTTCGAAAAACCCCGACTTTTCGAGTCGTCAATTTGGGAAACATCGAGTGCTCCCCTATTTAAAAACGTTTTCTGGGACAAAGTATTACAAGAGCAAACAACATATAGGTACTTACCAAAACCAAACATAAAATCAAACATTACGCCAGGGGGCCACCCAATACAAAGTTTAAAATTAGCGCATGGAAGGTTTTGTATGCACTGCCACATGGGGAGTCGGGAGGCACTTGCGGGCACTTGGGGGCACTTGTGGGCACTTGGGGGGACTTGGGGGCAGTTAGGGGGACTTGGCGAGCGCTCGGGGACACTTGGGGGCCCTTGGGGGGACTTGGGGGCACTTGGGGACTTAGGGGGGACTTGGGGGCAGTTAGGGGGGACTTGGCGAGCACTCGGGGCACTGGGGGCCCTTGGGGACTTGGGGGCACTTGGGGGCACTTAGGGGGGACTTGGGGGCAGTTAGGGGGACTTGGCGAGCACTCGGGGACACTTGGGGGCCCTTGGGGGACTTGGGGGCACTTGGGGCACTTAGGGGGACTGGGGGGCACTTGGGGGACTGGGGGGCACTTAGGGGACTGGGGGGCAGTTAGGGGGACTTGGGGGGCACTCGGGGGACTTGGGGGGGGGGGGGGGAGTCGGGAGGCACTTGGGGGCACTTGCGGGCACTTGGGGGGACTTGGGGGCACTTAGGGGGACTGGGGGCAGTTAGGGGGGGACTGGGGGGCACTCGGGGGACTTGGGGGGGGGGGGGGAGTCGGGGAGGCACTTGGGGGGCACTTCGGGCACTTGGGGGGACTTGGGGGCACTTAGGGGACTGGGGGGCAGTTAGGGGGACTTGGGGGAGCCCCGGGGACTTGGGGGGGGCGGGGGGCAGTCGGGAGGCACTTGGGGCACTTGGGCACTTGGGGGACTTGGGGGCACTTAGGGGACTGGGGGGGCACTTAGGGGGGACTTGGGGGGCACTCGGGGGGCTGGGGGCGGGGGGCAGTCGGGGGGCACTTGGGGGCACTTGGGGCACTTGGGGGGACTTGGGGGCACTTAGGGGGACTGGGGGGGGGGGGCACTTAGGGGGACTTGGGGGGCACTCGGGGGACTTGGGGGGGGGGGGCGTCGGGGGCACTTGGGGGCACTTGGGCACTTGGGGGGACTTGGGGGCACTTAGGGGGACTGGGGGCAGTTAGGGGGACTTGGGGAGCATTCGGGGGAGACTTGGGGGGACTTGGGGGGGGGGACGACACTCGACTCTTATCTCACTATGAGTCCCTTATAACCTTTAGGATAGAAGGCAAAGCCATTCTAGTTCGAGTCCGCCGTTCTACTTTTTGCTTTTTTGAATTGTTTTTCATTGATGTTAATGGTTAAAAGTAAGCATTTTCATGCAGAATTGAAAAGTAGTTTAAAATCAACTTATATTTGAAACCCAGTGCCACTCAGCCACCCCTCAGCTTCTTGGGAAATCTGCTTATATTCAAGAGGAGGGTGTGATTTTTGAAATCCAATACAAAATTTTGAGCGCTTATAACTTCTGACAGAGTGCTGTGTTGCAAAAACGGAAAGCAAATAGGGAATGAGGATAAAATTCTGCGTCGGATAGGATATGGCTTGTGCTAGCACAGCTAAGCCTAAGCCCAAGCAAGCCTTGTAACCCAACCTTGTAACCCAAGCAAGCCCGGCCGCTTGCCTGCAAGAATAGTTTTGAAAGAAACCTTTATCACTTCCAGTTCCAGCTGAAATGCACATTTGAGTTGAGGTTTTCGAAAACGTAACGCTAAATACTCAAGGAAAAAAACGAGGATCTATTTGTTCTTGACCAGGGCAGAGGAGAGGCAGAAGGGGTAACCCTCCCCCTTCTGCCTCTCCTCTTTCTTCTTTCACCAAAAGATTTCCCCTCATTTTCACCACCACTAATTCCTTTATTTCCTTCTCTTTTCTGCATTTTTCTTTTCTCAAGCAATGGCAGCCATTTTCTCTAAACAACTGTCCCCAACTGATCCCTTTCCCTCAAATTCTTCCCTCCAAAACTTCAAAACTTCATAGCTCAACCAACTTTAGCACTTTTTCAGTCCTTTAATCAATTTTTGAGTATTTAATTGTAATTATTGTCAAATTGAAATCAAAAAACGTTTAGAATTGGTTTCGAATTGACGAAAAAACTATTTAGCTCTACATTGGTAGTTTTTTAGATGAATTTCAGGCTAGTTTAGAGTAGAATATCCTGTTCCGTTGGACTAGATCAGGGTTAGACCAGAGCCAGGTTTTGTTCAGGTTTAGAGTAGGTTTAGATGGATTTCAGGGTAGTTTAGAG